GGCTGTACTTGATAGAATTTGTGCTTTTATCGACTTTCCTTTTTAGAAGAGAAAAAGAAATTCCATTAATCTTTTTTTAAAACTACAAAGTCAAGAATTTACCAGTTGTGATCTTCCAGGATTAATAACCTCAGTGTAAATTGGACATACTGTGTGCAGTGCAGGAACAGATACTGTTTTCCTCTAGAGGATTCCCATCCTGTCTTCTGCAGGGGATGCTTTGGAGAGGGACGAAGAGCAGTGTGCTGCAGTGTGACCCATGTTTCATTTGCTGTATAAATTGAAAGGTTTGGAGTTGACAAGGCTGGGGATTGCAGGAAGGGAAAAGGTGTGGTCTTGAGATTCCCAAGCTGGATTTCATCCCTGCCTGTGGCTGCAGCTCCCTTTGGAAGCAATGATAATTTTCAACATGGTGTCCCTGTTGTCTTCTGAGACGCTTTTTTGAGCCGTAGGGATGTAATCTGGTAGCTGGCTGCTTGAACCTTGTGTGAAGTTTCTCATGCCAAACAAACGTGGAAGATGCAAATTCAGGAATGTGCAGGCAGCCTTCATTTTGCTGCTTACTAATTTTTTGAGAATTGGATTTTGCGGTGTTCCCTGCCTTTGGATGCAGGGGGGCAGTGTGTGTGTGCTGGGTAGTTGTGTATCCGGGTAGTTAAGGACACCTGCCATCCCAGCATTTCTCAGATATTTAGACGAGAAATGGCAACAGAATTCTATTGAAGCAATAGCTTGGTTGCTTCTAAGGATTCTGTGTGTAACTTCCTGTATTCTGCAGTTGTTTTTACCTCTTGCAGGACTTAATTTAATGGCCTGTGTATAGTACTTGTTAAAACCTGCCTCTTGCATCCAGACCTTCCCTGCCAGCTGATGGCTTTTCAGGGAAACGTCTCTACTGTAGAAACAGGGGGCAGTGGTGGGACTGATGTGTTAGACAGTTTTGATGATGGATAGAGACACCTTCATTTGCACTCCCTGTGTGTTGGAGGGTGGGTTAGAAGGCAGACGTGCTTATCTTGTGTTTCTGAAGAGCTTTTCCCTCCACCTTTTTGGTTTTTTCCCTAACCTGCAAGTGAGATTTTTAATTTATTTTTTTTTTTATCTAGGTAGAAAGGTGACAACAATCCAGCTTGGATGTCAGGTTAGTGCAGGGACACTAGATCTCAGTTTGATTAGACAGGCGTGGAAAAATGAGAATAGTTGTTATCAGCTTTGTCAGTTGAGCATCTGGTGATGCCTAGGGACTGAGTAGCATAGTGCATTGAAAATTAATTGACTATCAACTTCACATTGCTCATTCAGAGCCCTACAAACATTTATTATTCACAATATAGAGCATCCTTCCAGGTGTTGGACAGACAGACTGAGATTACGGTGCAGGAGGCAGAACGAGGAACGCGTGCCAGGGGTTCAGACCGCTGCTCACTGCTCCCCAGCCTGTCTCAGCCTCGCTCTTTGGCTCTGCACAAAGTGTCTCCTGTCCCCTGTGTGTAAAATGGATGCACTGAAACGGGCTCCCTTTTCAGTGAATGAGCACTTAATCAACTTTAATTTTTACATCCTTGCATAGAAATAACTAAATGGCATTATTTACCAGCTGTTGTACTATTTTTTTTCATTACTGAATGGAGTTCTTGGATGGATACGTTGTATTATAATGACTGACTTCATTACAGACTTTGGTTTTCTGCTTTCTTAATGTAGACCTTTCTGCCTGGCAGCAATTTGCTGTTAACTGGTGTGCATTGTAGAACTGTGTGCATTATAGAATAGCAGCAGTTTGCTGTTAACTGGTGTGCATTATAGAACTGTGCTCCTGGATTCCATATATCACATCTTTATAGTTGGTCTCCTTTGGAGTTGCCAACAAATGGAAGCAGGCTAACGTGCACCGGGAAAGGGCGTTGGGAACTGCTGGGGTGGTGTATGTGGTGTTATCAGTTGGCTTTGTTCCTGCCTTGGCATCGTGGACAGGAACTTGACTTCTCCATGTATCCTCCTTTCCCTGCAGGTATTGAGAACCTGCCGTTTGAATTGCAGAGAAACTTCCAGCTCATGCGAGATCTGGATCAGAGGACGGAAGGTGAGGATTAGAGATGGTTTTGTTGATGAGACAGGAAATATGACCAGCTTGACCAGCCTTTATTTTCTCTTCTTTATTTTTATCACGGGGATCTCAGAACAGGGGAGGATGCCCTACAGCTGCTCTGGTCCTTCAGCCTGTCTTGATGGAGAGCACTGTAGTGTGTGTGTGTGTGTGTGTGTGTGTGTGTGTGTATTTCTGTATCTAATGGTAAACTTGTTTCAGACCTCAAGTCGGAGATCGATAAATTGGCCACAGAGTATATCAGCAATGCACGGACTTTGTCTTCAGAGGAAAAACTGGGGCTTCTCAAGCAAATCCAGGAGGCCTATGGGAAATGCAAAGAGTTTGGGGACGACAAGGTTCAGCTGGCGATGCAGACCTACGAGATGGTATGAAGGGAAGTGTCTAGTGCTTATCTTATGAGAGGCTGTACTAAAGCCCTCAATCCTGGAAGGCCCTGATCTCCCTTTTGAGGGCCTAACCACTCTTGCTTCTCAGCTCTCAGCGTGAGTCCCGTACCCTGTCCTCTTTGCTCTCTTGGGCTCTGTTCTGTGGTAACTCCTGGTCTTTGCAGGTTGATAAGCACATCCGGCGGCTGGACACAGACCTTGCTCGCTTTGAAGCAGACCTGAAGGAGAAGCAGATAGAGTCGAGTGACTATGACAGTTCTTCCAGCAAGGGCAAGAAGAGTGAGTACCACCACTGGGCTGCAGATTGATACAGGAGGCAGCCAAGTGACTTTGGAAGTGGTGGGGATGAAGGCAGGCACTGGAGTGGTACAGATCAAAGACTGTTACGCTGGAATCTGAAGGACAGGTAAAAAGATGTTGACCTGGGCTCTTGTTGTGTGAGCATATTCAAGGCTGCTAGATAAAATTAAGATGGGGTGCATGGCCCAAAGCCAATCCACGCTCCTAAGTATTTTAGTGCTGGGGAGGTTGTTACTATCAGGTGTCTGTTTCAATGGGGTGGCAGATGAAACACCTTTTTCTCTTCTTACCAGAGGGCCGAGCCCAAAAAGAGAAGAAAGCTGCCCGTGCTCGCTCTAAAGGGAAGAACTCTGATGAAGAAGCACCAAAAACTGCCCAAAAGAAATTGAAGCTTGTCCGCACGTAAGTGTTTAAGAGATTTGCAGGCATGAGGAGCAGCACTGCAAATCAGACCACGGGAGGCCTAGCCAGACTTCCCTGTGACGGATCTGATCCCCACCCACACTAGATGCTGTGTCCCCTGTGCCTTCGTGGAAAGCAAGAGGAGGGAGACCTTTTAATTATTTCAGGGGAGTGTGGTGTGAAGGGGAAAGCACGTCACTTCAGTGGAGCTGGGTGTGTGTGTGCTTAAAAAAAGAGAAGTGGCTGTCTCTGGCAAACAGGGCATTGTTGTGGGAGGCACGAAGGGACTCAAAGCCAGTCACTTTGCTGACCTACTTTATTCCTCTCCTGCAGTAGCACAGAGTATGGGATGCCTTCAGTCACCTTTGGAAACGTGCACCCTTCGGATGTGTTGGACATGCCTGTGGACCCCAATGAGCCCACTTACTGCCTTTGCCACCAGGTCTCCTACGGGGAGATGATTGGCTGCGACAACCCAGATGTAAGAACCTGCACTTGATGGAAGTGGGGGAGAAAGGAGTGGAGAGTCTTGCATGGAAAGTCTTGTCCTGCTTGGGTGGGGTCTGATAGAGCAAGCAGTAACAAGAAGAGAGCTTATCTCAGGTAGCTTGGAAGGGCAGAGGGGTGGCTTGCCGTGACCTGTTAAGTGCCTCTTTCTTCAGGGTTTTCCTTAAAATGACAGGTTGCTGTCTTGCTCCCACACTTAGCAAGGGAGAAGGGGAGTTCTTGCTAACAGTGTCCAGGTTGGGTGTGAGTCTTCATTGCCTGATCGCTGCTCGGGATTTAGGAGTTTGTGATCAAGTGTTGGGAAACTCCAGGAGCCCAGAAGCAAAGGTTTCAAAAGCAAACTGCTCTTTAACTGACTGCTCTCCATCCCAACAGTGTTCCATTGAATGGTTTCATTTTGCCTGCGTGGGTCTGACAACAAAACCAAGAGGAAAATGGTGAGTGAACAAGCAAGCTGGAGGGCACATTGGCCTTTGGAAAGGGGAGGTCCTGGGTGGCAGAAGGGGAAGTACTTAGAAGTACTTCTAAGTACACACTTAGAAGAAGTCTTAAAATGGAAAATTTGAATTAAGGCTTTGTCAAGGATGTTGGAAAAGGTCCTTTGGGATGATATGTTTGAGGTTCATGTCATACCCTAAATGCTGGATTTTTACTTCCCTTCCTACCAGGTTTTGTCCTCGCTGTTCCCAGGAGAGGAAGAAGAAGTAAAATCCCGTGAGCCCTCAGTACTGCTGCAGGAGCTCTCTTCCCCCTGCCAAGGCCTCGTCCCGGCTCCCCCAGCCCTTGGGGCCTTGGCTGAGGGGCAGCCTTGCCCTGTTTGTGGTTTGGGCCATCCCTGGAATGGTGTGTACCCTCACGGTGGTTCCTGTGTCCCTGGTTGCTTCCAAATCCCTAAGGGAGGCCCTCTGTGTGTACTATTCCAAACAGGTCTCTGAACCTCAAAGGGAATGAGTGAGGGCACCAGGGTAGCCACCAGATCCCCAGGGATTCAGGTAGCCCCTGATTTTCCTTGGCTTTCCTTCAGCCTCCTCAGAGTTCATTGCCTACTCTCTGCTTAGAGAGCAAGGCTATGGGATGGGGGAAGGAAAGGAGGTAAGTCTTCAGCATTTTAGGTCTTTGATTTTCCTGGATCTTTTTCAGGAGAGAGGGAGTTGAGAGAGACTGAAAACCTAATGTACTCCCTCTCTTTAACCATTCCACTACTGGCATTGAGCAGCCTCTCTTACTGGGGAGAAGAGGAGGAGGGAGGAATGTTTAGAGCTAGCTTTGTCTCTCTCATTCCTGGGGTAAACCTGCTGGTCTGGGAAGCACATTGTATGAAGGAGGAAGAATTTCTGACCACATGGGGAGAAATGGCTTGATCTTGCCTGTCTTCTGGCTCCAAAATTCTCCCTTCCTTTTGTGCAGCGGGGCTTCTCCATTATGTTGATGATGGGAAGTTTGGGGATTCAGATCCCACTTGTATAATACGGAATTAAATAAAGTTCATTGAAGCAAATACTCTGTTTGCCTTGCTCTCACCTCCAAAGTAAAGTGTGGCAATTGGTCTCCTTAGTTATTCTTTCTCTCTCAGTTCTGCTTTTATTCTAAATTATGAATGTGGTACAGCTTTTTCATGTAACAATCCTGAACACTGCTAATAAGTGACATTCTGTCTCAGTCAGGCTTGAAAATGTCCCTGATATACTTTCAAAAGGTTACAAAGCTTTCTAGTGGCTGTGAAAAATACCTGCCCCTTCAGTCGTGCCCTCAGAAGAGGGTGGACATTTATTCACATTTTTGTTGGGTCATTTACTTCATCAGTTGTCTTCTTTCAAATGAGGAGAGGTGGGGGTTATAGAAGGCCAACCCTCGCTGTGGCTGTTGGGCAGCACAGCTGAAAAAAATAAGGCATCAGGTCAAACTGTGTGCATCCAGGAATGTGGATGGCTTTTCCATATATCCAGATAACTTGCTCTCCAGTGGGTCACTTTCACCTTGGATCACCTTGTTGCCAGAAACTCCAGCTGCTTGTTACTAAGATAATGTTAGGCTCCAAAGTGATTACTGAAGACGTGTCTCTCTCTAGCATCTGCAGGTGACTGTGAGGAGATGATCCATACTGAAGCTGCCCTTCATCTGTTCTGTTGGCATGGCCTGGAGATTGATGAGCTTGAGTCTCTTCTTCCTGTTTGTTCTCTGCTCTTTGGGAGGGTTTAAGCTTTTCACCTGAAACTTGAAATGTTTTCCTCACATAGATTACTTGTACAAGGATCAACCGAGCATTTTTGTTCCTGTAGTCATGAAGTCAGAGCTCTTCTGGGAGTGCATTAAAACCATTCAGAGAACTGTGTAGGTGGAGAGCAATGCTGCTCACCTTGTAATTGTGTGGGGACCCTGTCAAAGCCATCGGCTGCGAAGCTGATGTTAAGTCTTCTGTTCGAGCGAGTTAGCATTGAATCAGTCTCTGCTTCTGCTCTGAGAAGTGGTGCTCAGGTTCCTGTTTTGCACAGAAAAAAAAAAAGATGCCAGTTCTTACCCAGACTGTGGCTCATATGTTTTGTGGTACCGCTGCCACGGTCTGGATCTCAATCCCCAGGTTGTCTTAGACTGTTTCCTGGGGCTTCCCTCCTTCAACAGAGAGAATTGAATTCTGCAAGATTATGCGTTCTGGTTTTGCTAGGACAGAGTTAATTTTCTTCTTAGCAGCTAGAATAGCTGTGTTTTGGTTTCAGTGTGGGATTTGTTATGAGAAGAATGCTGATAACAGCACTGGTGTTATTAGTTGCTGGAGCTCAAGGCCACTGTGTTTGGCTGGTTCACAGCTGCATCAGGACTGGGAGGGAGAAGCGCAGTGAACAGCAAAACCCAGACCTGACATCTGGATGTGCCAATGAAATATTCCAGATCATATCCCGTCATGTCAGTATGTTAACCAGGGCTGACCAGAAAGGGGAGGATTCTCTCAGGAATCACTCAGGCTCACTTTTCCAGGATTGTGATTTCGGTTTCGGGGTTCTTTTCACTCTGGGATCGTTATCAGCGGGTGGTGAGCAGTTGTACTGTGCATCACTCACATAGATATATATACACACACACACACACATATATATATAGTTATCATTGTTATTATTAATTTTATTTTACTCTAATTTTTAAATTGTTCTTATCTCAACCTACAAATCTCCTTACCTTTATCCTTCCAGTTCTCTCCCCGATTCCCTGGGGGGTGTGGGCTGTGAGTGGCTGTGTCTTGGTTGGCTGCCAGCCCAGTTAAACTATCACATGTTGGTTGCGTGTCTGGTACAGCTTTTGCAGCAGGAGATGCTGTGCCATTGTCTAGTGGGTGAGAAGGCTGTGTCAGGAGAACCAGTTTCTTCAGCTGGGGTTTATCCAGGTATTGGCTGGGTGCTCAGCTAACAGAACAAGTGGAGGATGTGGTCTGAACTTGCAGAGGGCTTTTGGGCAAAGCGCAAGGGTGACAAAGGATGCAAACACTCTGCTAAGTGGTTTGGCTTTGGTGGGACAGGACACTGGATTGTAATGGCCACCGTTAGTAGCAAGCTGTCTAGGAACTGTGGGCTAGAGAGATGTTTGAAGTGGTGGCCCTGTAATGAAGCTGCTGATGATGAAGGATAATAAGTAGCTTATAAATGCACATGGTGTAATGTGAAAGCAGCGTGAGCAGGCAGGAGTGTGCTGCACACCAAACCAGGAAACAAGATGGCCTGGTGTTCCGCTGCTGCTCACTGCGCAGGGGCAACTGCTCAGGGTAGCCCTGGTTTGGGAAACGCAACTCTCTGGTCTTCTGCAGCCAGCACAGGATGCTGAGAGGCAGGGGATAGACCAAAATACTCGTTTTCAGGCTAAAGGTTGGCCACAGGGTTACCGTTGTGCTTCCTGGCACACTGAGAGTAGGAACATTCTGATGACTTAATGCAAAACACAAGGGAAACAGCCAGGTTTTGATTCAGTGCCAGAAGACACTGGGTGGGAAGCTCCACTTACCCGCTGTTCTGCCGTCACATCCTGCTTCTGGCCAATGAAGGGGTGCTTCAACCAGCAGTGTGGAGCATCCCAGAGACACTGGCTGCAGCTCAGGGAATGCTCTGATTTACAGGAAAAGAGGAACTTAGATAAAAATATGGCTGAAACCCGAGAATTTTTAAATGACTTACAAGTATAAATGCAAATGGAAGGACATTAAAAACTAACCTTGGAAGAGAGGGAATAGGGGCACTAACTGCAATATTTAATCACCAAAGAGGGGAAATAAAAGAATCAGTAGAAGCTAAAAATTACGAAGTAGAAGAATGAAGCCAGTGGGAACAGAGCCGATAAGCGACAAGGCTAGAAACATAAGCAGCTTTTCTTAGAATGCCTTTTGTTTTTGATATAATTGAACATGGCACATGTCCATTAGCAACTGCAGATAGCAGAATTGTTTGTAATGAGAGGAGGGGGATGTGTTCTGTAAATATTTATTCTGTGTTGGTGCTGGTGTCATATGGGGATGATGTACTTCCTAGGCAAACAGTGAGGAGGATTTTAAATAGCGTCTATTGGGGCAAAGGCTTTTTTGGTCAGCAGTCTTCATTAAATAGTGTTTGTCGTCCTCTGAAAGCCACCGAAAGGCATCTGTGCTCTGCTCTCAGGCTCTGGGCTGCCGGGGATAAAGCCTACGAGGCTGGAAAAGAGCCAGCTCTGTGCTGGTCCTTAACGATGTCAAGAAGGCTGCCATAGCAATCCAGATGTGAAATACTGCAACAGCACATAAGTAATAGCTTCTCTTTAAATCAAGCCAGAAATTCAGGTCAATAAATTAATCAAATCAAAATAAAATCAGTTTGACTGGAAGTAGCAAAAAAGGTCAATCAAAAATTACTTGATTTGTTTTTTTTTTTAAAAAAAAATCACTGTCAATAGTTACCTGTATCACTGTAGTGGTAATGGGATCTGAAAAATTTACTTCACCTGTAATTGAAGTGCTTAAAAAGGGGATACACTAAGTGAAGTAACTGTGAACTTTATAGAACTGGCTGGCTTGCAGATTTCCTGGAACAGCTGTCAGTGCAACAGAAACACTTTCTAAAATGGAGCTGGAGAAATTGCCCTTTTAGAGTAATTGCAAGTAACCTAGTTGGTAAGTAACATCAAGTCTGAGTTTCAGGAAGCTGGAGCTGTACAGCGTGATGAGGGAAGACTTTTGCCAGCCTCTTTAAGCCCATTTATTAATAATAATTGGTCATGCACACAAGTGACTGGTTTATCTTGTCCTGCTATGATTGCCCCGACTCCAGGCATCGTTCCTAGGTGGCTGGGCAAGCGTGGCTGACAGGGCTGTCTGGCAAAGTATTCCCCTTCCCAGCAAACAGACGCCCTCAGCAAGCGCCCATCCCCTGGGCTCTGCTGCTGCCGTGTCCACTGCGTGATGTGTACAGGAATCATTCCAGCCATGACCATTGCCTTCCTCCAGTGGGATCACCTTCTTCATCTTCTTCAGGCTGGCCTTCCAGTACCTGAAGGGGCTACAGGAAGGATGGGGAGGGACTTTTGGCAAGGGCAGGGAGCAACAGGATGAAGGCTAATGGCCTTAAACTGCAAGAGGGTAGATAGAGATGAGATATGAGGAAGAAATTCTTCCCTGTGAGGGTGGTGAGACACTGGCACAGGTTGCCCAGAGAAGCTGTGGCTGCCCCCTCCCTGGAAGTGTTTAAGGCCAGGCTGGATGAGGCTTTGAGCAACCTGGTCTAGTGGAAGGTGTCCCTGCTGATGGCAGGGGGGTTGGAACTGGATGGTCTTTAAGGTCCCTTCCAACCCAAACCAGTCTGTGATTCTGTGATCTGTTACAAAGCTAGCAAGCAATTAAACTAGCCCCATAGCTCAGCAAGTTTCAGCCTTTCATTAAGCACTCTTAAGGTATTACTTACCTAACTATACGTTCAGAGCCATGTAGTAGAACAGTCTCTTTCTGTCCATGGTTGTGTAAGGCTTCTGTGCTCAAGCAGACCGTCTGAGGCTCAATTGTAGAGTGTGTTTCAGTCATACTCAGGTTATCAGGGATCAGTTCTCATGAGACAATTACTGAATATAAATATATATATCTTAGAATTGGAAACACTGATCGGAAGGTACCACTGGAGGTCATCTGGTCCCGCTTCCCCTTCAGAACAGGGCTGCTGTCAGTCCTAAATGAGGTCAGATACATGCTGGGTAGCCATATGCTCCGTAGCAGAGCAAACTAGGATAAGAAGCAGCAGTTGCATGGCTCCAGGTGAAAGGTGATGTTGCTGAAGCTCTTAAGACTTGATTCCAATGCTGGCCAAATCAGTTCATAAACCTCAAGTTGGCAGCAGAGAAGAAAAATATTCCCAAGAGATAACCTGCTTATACTGGCTGAAAAATAAGACCCAGTCATCCCAGGATATTTCCCACTGCAGATAAATGTTGTTGGGAAGTGCTAGTCACAGGTGACAGCAGGATTGCTCCCCTCTCATGTCTACAGCGAAATGGGTGGCACTTCCTCCAGTCCCAGACAGGAGGGATACAAAAGGTATCTAGTCATTC